GGAGGCATTGCTAAGCGAGGTGCTCCGTAGACTGGGTACGGCCAGCGATGTCTGCCGCACCGCTACAGTCTGCTGGTCGTTCGCCTCGGCTGTCCGATCTAATCTGACTTGGGCGCCGCTGCTGCCTCCTGGATGTCATCGCCTTTGCCAGTCGAACCCCCCTTCCTCTTCCTCCTCCTCCTCCTCCTCCTCCTCCTCCTCCTCCTCCTCCCCCTCTCCCCCCGACCCCTCTTTGAGTTCAATGGCTTGCTACAGGCATCTCCTTCGTGGCTTTCCTGACAGTAAATGCTCTCACGTGCACTATCGATTGGAGGAGTCTACGGGAGCCTTGCAGACGAGCGTGTCGGTGATGGGAATGTCTGTCGTCTGGGGTAACGACTCGCAGTACTGGAAGAGAATTCCCCTCGAGGGGAGTGTATTTACGGAGGGCATGGAACTGCTGAGCGTGTGCTGGTTCGAGATCACGGGCACGGCGACGTGCTCTTTGCCACCGGGAAGGTACACGTGTGCATGGAGAGTGTCTCGGTCCCGGGATGGTAATTACTGCTTCCCGGATCGAACCGAGGCCACCGTGTCCATCGAGGGAGGGCCCGTTATCCAGAGCTACATAAGGACTGGAAGAGGGGTCATCGCGCGTTACCCGAGGTGGTCGGAGTTGCGTGTGGGAACCATAGAAGTCGTCCCCGCGGACGACGAGAAAGAGCACAACGAGCTGTTGTCGGTAGCAATCAAGTTTCGATTATTCAATTTCGATGGAGGTTGGAGAGATGGAATGATTGTCGATGGTTTGGTGATTCGTACCGGAACCATGCCAGATGACCCCGAAGAGGAAGACCCCGAAGAGGAAGACCCCGTCGAGGAAGACCCCGTCGAGGAAGACCCCGTCGAGGAAGACCCCGAAGAGGAAGAGTCCGAAGTGTCCGAAGAGTCCGAAGAGTCCGAAGAGTGCGAAGAGTGGGAAGAGGAACACCGCGAAGAGCAAGATCGCGAAGATGATGATAGCAAGCCAGAGCCCTTCAGCGATGAGGACGGGGAGGGGAGGCGATGAGTAGGGCGGGATGCGGTTTTCACGTGGGCGTTTTCCATCAACAATTATGTGCGAAGTGCTGAGGAGTGAGAGAGGCAACGCTGGTCCGTCGCTGGAATAGGAGAGGAGGATTTTGAGTGAAATACGCTAGACCCGAAATTGGTAGACAATAGAGGACGTGTAGCGCGTGTATATGCCAAAACGTGGTGGTCCCCGCTTCTACGAGATGTGCAGTAGGAGTGCGGATGTCATTCTTTTGCACGGTCGTTATTTATTATTCGTGATGTAGCAATGAAAGCTAAATTAAATACAGTATGTGATTTTGGAGAGGAGGGCTGAAGAGGAAACACGGACAGTCTGATGGCCTCGCATAGGTAGGGGGGCATGTCTGTGCAAGAGGAGGAAGGTCGCACAACCATGTCTGCTGAGTGGGCAATTTGATCTGCACGCGGGGCGCCAAGCTCAGTTTTCAGCGGGAGCAGATCTCAACCATCAGGCAGGAGCGTCTCAGAAGGGACGAGCAGTCCTATTACCTAGGGGCGACCGATGGGGCAATCGGATGCAGCAAAGAACCCAAGTTTTGGACAAGAAAAACGAAAGGTGGATGGATAAGGGAGGAAGAAGGGAGGGAGGGATATTGTGTGCATGTCTATGTTTTGTTTTGTTTTTTCCCTCTTGTGTGTGTGTGTGTGAGAGAGAGAGAGAGAGATCTGCGTGCGTGTGTGCGTGCGTGTGTGCGTGTGTGTTGGCTTGTGTGTGTGCGTGTGTGT